GCAACTGTCTGGAGACCTGAAACTAAAACTAACCAGACAAAGGCCAGGATAATGAAGGCGATGACACCTGCCACGGACAGCTTTCCCGAGATTTGGGACCAGGCCTGAATAATCTTGCTTTTTACTTATCTTTTCCCCCATATCAATGCTTTTGATTCAACAGTTCTTCTCCTATGGGCACAACTATATGCTAATTCAAAAAAAAATGAATCCAATTGTTGCATTTGTGGACAACTGCCCTTGTCACTTCTGGGTTAACTAGGTGGATATCTCCTCTACAAAGATCCAACTGGTAGCTTTAAGAAATTTCATTTCAGAGGAAAGAAATGTCAGTACTACTCTAGAAACCACAGGTATCACTAACTGGAACTCAATGGATGGCCCATCAACCAAACGTTAAGTTACTCTGGACATCAGTATTAGTTTTCTGTCAATGCTACCTAGGCCCAGTCTCAGGAAAGAACTAGACCAACACCAAAGAAGTCACCTCTTGTCTATTCTGAGGGGTTAGGGGCATGTACCATTCCTCTATTATGGGACGGATTATACGGTTAACACTGGGCTATGGACATCTAAGTACCAAACCCCCTTTATGTTGGGAACAGCTTACCATACAAGAATGAACTTACCTGATAATACCCAACATCTAGGATAGGCACCATGTGATTCTTGTTCTGAAACTATCACTTTAAAAGGTTGTCATTGGTTGGGAATTGATTGGGAGAGATGATCTGGTACTTTCTGGGTGGCCTCAAATGGAATCCACAGGCTTTGTGAAGTAACCTCTGGCCTTGGCTTCCTCTCAGGTGGAGGGGACATTGTACCTTAGGGTTTCCTTGGATTCAAGGGCATATTTGCACAATCCTCAACATGGCCCCTGCAAATTACCCCTTGACAAAAGCAAGGTGGGTTAGGTCAGTCTTTCACCAGTATGATCACTTGGTAGGTATTTTTATTCCCTCACTGGGAGCTGAAGACATCATAACTCATATAGAAGCGTAACAAAATTTATCCAACAAGTGCTAAGTGACAACCAACAAGCTATAAATCGTTTACATTCTGAATTATCTTCAATGAGAAAGACAGTCTTACAAAACTGGAGGGCTTTTGACATTATTACAGCTCTCAGGGTGGTACCTGTGCTACAATACAAAGTGAATGCTGTATTTTTATACCAGGTGAGTCATCTAATGTCACTCACTTAATATTTTTAAAAAGCAAATAAATGCTATGAATAACCCCATACCCAGTTTTGGAGAAATATTAAAAGGTTGGTTTAGCTCAGGTAAAAGTTGTCTAAAATCATAGCCTAGGACATCACTATTGATCCTTGCCATATTTATTACTTTCTGTATATTTTGTAAGTTTTTAACTCTCTGTATCTCTTGCTGCTATACTATGATGCCCTCCACAGGAGAAATGATAGCTTGATGTCTGGAGATGACTGACCACTCCTCTACGAGTTCCCCTAGTTCAGATCCATGAACTTCTCGTATTTTCATTCTGTAGATGGTGCCTTGTTGCTCAAACGTGGCCATAAATCTCTAAAAGTATACTTCACACACAACCACCTGTTTCCCTCCTTATGGGACATGACTTTCTGGGAATGAGTCTTCCCAGCACTGAGGAAGTCCATGCTGATGCCAGATGACCAAATCGTTGATCACCAATGCTTTCAAAAGAAAGATCTCAATCAAAAGGATGGAACGTGAAAGGAAAATCACAATGGAGTCTGTGCTGCTAAGGGTGCTCTCTAAAATGTAGCCAGGAGGCCACTGAAGAAGTGGGACTTACACACATCTCATTCCGGATGGAGTCTGAACTTTCCGACACTTATTGTCTTCATATAGGCATCCGGAACACCTGCGGTTGTGTTCCAGAAACTGGAGATACTTATCAGGCCCTTAACCTAAATAGCTCACAGCAGCTCATCTCTTAAGTGCAAATACTTCCCTTTTGAGTCAAAGCTAATCATAAATTTTGCAAGACAACTTTAGCAACCTTGTAGCTTTTGTCTTTATAAGCCCCTTTCTCTTCCCTGGAACACTCCTTTACTTTTACCTGAATCTGTGTCTCCCATATTGCAATTCTTAACACCCCAAATAAACGCCTGTGCCCTTTGCATCCTTGATACTGATTATAGTTCAGCAGCTCTCCCGCTCCACCGCCCGCAATCACCTGTCTCAACCAAGTCCTCTAATTCTTCTCTCCTTATAGGATGTTCTGGAAAATTTCCATGTCCTTGCTCCTCGTGGCTGCACTGGGGAAGCTGGAGGAAATTCAGGGGGCCCGGCCGGCAGGAGCCATCCCATCGCCTCGCAAGGATAGAGGCACCAACAACTCACAGAATTGGCAGCACATCAGGGAGGTGCTTTCCTCCAGCCAGGAGGCGCTGGTGGTGACAGAGCGCAGGTACCTGCGGAGGGACTGGTGCAAGACGCAGCGGCTGAGGCAGACAGTGCGCGAGGAAGGCTGCCACAGCCGCACGGTGCTCAACCACTTCTGCTATGGCCAGTGCAACTCCTTCTACATCCCGCGGCCGGGGGGCGAGGGCGAGGGCTCGGGCTCCTTCCAGTCCTGCGCCTTCTGCCGGCCCCAGCGCGCCGCGGCGCTGCTCGTGGAGCTCCAGTGCCCCAGCCGCGACCCGCCCGTCCGCCTGCGGAAGATTCAGAAGGTGAAGCAGTGCCGGTGCATGTCTGTGAACCTGGGCGCGGACGAGTCGTGAGCTCGGGCAGGATTCACAGCGCGCCTGCGTCCCCGTCCATCCCCGTCCCCACGCGCCCCGAGTCCCCCGTGGCAGGCATGTGTCCCGTGCCCAAGGCGTCCTTGTCACAGCCCAGCAGCCTGCGGGGCCTTGCGGCTGTGCCCCTGACCCACCTGGGCGCTGCACCTCCGGAGCCAGGATGTGAGGCGCTCAAGAAGGTGCTGGAAAACCCCCGCCGTCGGCAAGAACCTTCCGGGAGACGCAGTCGGTCCAGTGTCGCTGTTCCACAGAATGAGGAAGCGGATCTCTCCCTGGTCTGGCCCGATGGAGTCAAGGGCACTTCTTCAATCCTCTCCGGGGCTGCTCACTGGCCTCACTGAGAGCGTCCCCTCCGGTGAGCCCAGGCTTCCCTCTGAGGCTGGGGTGCACGTCTGGCCAAAAGCCCATGGACAGGGAGGTCCTCCTGACAAACTCGATACCAAGGAGATGACTTGAGCCCCTTGGATCATGAAGCGGAACTCCCTGGGGACTTGTTCACAGCAGCCACCACCGCCTCCTTCTCCTTAGTCCCACTCAGTTTGTGGACTGAAGATGAATTTGGGTGTGCACGCTTTTACTGCTGCAGTTACAACATTATCACGCACAAAGGTCTCCATGTGGACACTGGTTTTTATAGTGACCTACATCGTAATAGGTTGTTAAAAATATTATAGACCTACCCATGTATTGTTCCAAGTGTTTTGATTCTGGCTTTCAGCTCCACTCTAAGGACTGGAGTAGGTGATGATCTGCCCAGAGGTGTTTTGCTCAGAAATAATGATTCTTAGATTTGGCGGGGGGATGGGAGGAGTAATGATTTTACATTGAATAATAATTTTCACTGAAAGTACTAAAGCATTACCGCACAACGTAGGAATTGGGTTGGGATGGATGGGTGCAGGGAAGGGGATTCACTGGGAAGCTCAAAAACCCTTTAATTTTTAATGTGCTGATGTGGAGTGAGAAGGTATACTGTTTCACTGCCATGACACCAAGCAAAAAAAAAATTCTTGTTAGAGAAGTAACTAAAAATATGAGGAGTTGGGTTACTTTGTGGTATAGGAGGAAATATAAGGTATCATATATTCCACATATGATATAGAAATCTGAATTATCATACAGAAAACTAGTTTCTTTTTCAAGGGATGGACTTTGAAAAGGATGAGCAAACATTTGGTCACCTCTCGTTTTTACAATGAATTGTTAAGGTTTTCGTGTATAGTCTCTTGATATAAGGAAACTAACATAATTTGTTTTCCTGCAAAATTATGCTTCCTTTGAGTCCCTTCGCTAAATTCTCCCACAAAGTCTTCCGTGGGAGTGATGTTTATGGAATCTGTTCCATGTGAATGAGATGCCATTGGTGAGAATCAGCATATTCTGAAAAACTTTCACTGGTAATTCCCAGCACTGAGTGTCAAGTGCTGCTGCCAAAGGAACTCAGAAAGGCCCCCTTCCAGGTGTTTGAGTCCCTCTACCAGCTGCTCTGGGAACTGAGGCTCCCTGACATGAGACAGTGACATGTTCACCTGAAGAGCAAGCATTTGGAGGGGAGGACATGTTGGTAAATTCATTTCCTGCCCCTGCAATGCAGGTTTCATTTCTGTCACTCCTATAACTCCAGGAGACCTGAACAGAACATGCTGCTGTAAAGGGGGTCTTGGCTTCAGAAATGGTATAGACAGCCCTAAATCAGGAGGTGGAAACCAACAGAAATCCTTGAGAGCTGGTACCCTGGGCTGGAGAGAGTGGAGAGGGTGTCAAAATTCAGACTGAACTTTTTTTACAGTTAGTGGAAAACCTCAAGTCAGACTCAGTGGCAAAACATGCGGCAGAAAAGCTGAGATGGATAGGGGGGCCACGTGATTGTGATGGAGGCCAGTGGAAGAGGGTGAGAGGAGAGTGAGAGGAATCTCCAGCTGACTACAGAGCCAACCCTTGTCATTTTATTAACACAGAAGCCAAGCAGAAGTAAGCTGTGAACTTACAGAATGCAAGCATGAGCACACTCTCTTTGAACCCAGCTGTGGGTACAGCAATGGGAGCAATGATACGCTGCAGGTGATGTGAGGCTCCTTCCAGGGTTCTTGTATATACAAAGTTTACCCTATATGGGCTCAAATTGTATTTAAGTGTATTTGTTGTTGTTTATAAATGAAAAAAAAAGCTATAAGAATAATGTAATTATTTTATAGGGATACTATTAAATTATAGAAAAAATAAAGATACTCTAGGATTATACACGATCCTGGTGTGATATGCCATAAAAATGGAATTCTGAACTTATTGCAGTGGGCATTGAAGGAGCACTGTGCATTTAGGGTGCTTTCGCCCAGCCATGATGAGTTCAACCCCCAGCCTATGTCATACAATCTCCTTTGGGGTTTGGCATCTTCAAAGAGAATCTGAATCAGGCATCCAAGGAGCAGAGGTGGTGGGGATGGCTCTCAATGCTGGTCTTGGGGAGTTTCCAAGTCTGTTAGAGATCCCTCAGTAGCTGAAGACAGGATTCTTAACCTATTCTCACTGTGCTATCTGAATAACAAACGCTGAATGAAGAAGTCTTGAGAAACTGCTGCGAAAAGACATCTGTTATAAACCTCATCTTCCATTTAGCAGCCAGTGCATCACACTTGTCTCTTCAACAAGCCAGAACTTGTCCTGGGTTTTGTCCATTTTCACATTCACTTGTCCACTTTTACATTCACATTTCACAAGTTTCAACATTTAAATGCTTCTTAGTTTCACGGTGTCTCCATTTTTTTAATTGACTTATCTGCCATTCAAGAATCACACTTAACAATAAAAAATAAATTCTTTAATAAAATTTCATGTGGTTGATTGGCTGTATGGATTTCAAAGGAATTCAGTTTAACTTCATAATAAACAATTAATCTTAGTTTGTTAAGTGGGACAGTATACTCCACTCAAATGGAATAAGATGTTCCAATTCACTTGTTTCTGAAGTTGGCTCATTGGTTTTTAAGCTATAAAGTCAAAGAAAATTAATTTTTGCTGTTGAGTGAACAATTGGAATGTTTGTATTTCTAGAAAGCTTACTTGATGATTGACCCATCACCGCTGGTTATTAATGTCTGCATGGGAGGTAACCAGTTAGACCAAATCATAAATAATACAATTAAAACCCGCTGAGCATCAGGCTGTCTTCTGAATCCTCCTTAAACCCCACCCTTGTCACCCTCTTCACTCAATCTCCTGCCACTATATCTTAGGCACAGCAGGCAGCTCATGCCTTTTACTAAAGAGAAATATGGGAAACCACACAATTTTTCTTGTTGTTTGTATCCATCAGTGTTTTGGGGCTACTGGCTTCTCTAGTACTCAATCTGGGATACATCGGGTGGGGTGGATGAAAGCCAAAGAACTCACAGCCATATAATTCCCTGAATCCTGAGGTTCCTACTTTTTCTGCTCTCTCTTCTCCACCTTTCAGGGCTTTATTATGTTTGTTTGATATATATAATGTCCGGAATTTTTAGTCAGGGGAGGGGGGATAGTGAGGACATGTTTATTCCATTTTGACTGGAATCAAAAGTCATCTGAACCTTTATAAGGTTTATCACCTACTCTCTAAGCCTTATGGTATATGAACCTTAGACTGTGGTGCATAAATTAAGACCCTCAGTATCCTTGTACGGTACCTCTCATCTGGTCCTATTACATGATGTCAGTCATATGGTGGATCAATGCTATTTTACACAATGTCCATAAAATCCAGGTCCCTTCAGATTATATTTTGACAAAGCATAGAAGAACTTAGATTTGAGGACAAGACCATACACATAAGCTGTTTTTCATGGCATGGGAGTTTTAACTGCATTTGGTTCTCCTTCCTCAAAGGTAGGACAAAAACCACATTTGCTAGATCAAGAGCTGGAGCGTGCTTTACTCTCCTCTGACCAAGAAACCACACTGAGCACAGCAGCTGCAGCTGGGACAACCGCCCTGTCTCTTAGACTATGTGCCTGCTGTGGTCCATTTGATTTGGGGAATGGCCGGGTGAAATGGGGTTACTACAGTATATTAAAGTCCTTGAGAATTTCATTAATTTTCTCCATTTCCTCTGGAGTTCAGCATTGTTTCTGATTTACTCTTTTCGCTAGGGTAGGGAGCTTCAGAAGTCTGCACTAGCCCTTCTCCGCTAAAACAGCTCTTACTCAAGCAATTAAAGGTTCAATGTGAGGGTTGTTCAAACTACCAAGGGTGTCCCTTTCAATTATGCATTTGGAGATGAGGGAAAGGACCACCAGGTTGGTCCATGGACCAGTGGACCCTCTGAGAGTCAGACTTTGGCTGGAACTCAGGTGGCCCTTATACACCTCCACTTTAATAGGGAGCTGTGATGGTTCACTGGGTCTTCAAGTATTAATGTCAACTCAGAGCCAATGTTCAATAATCCTGAAAAGTTCTGAGTAGTCCTCTTTCCTCCAAAGCACGTTTATATAAATAAGCAGTCCCAAGTTTTCTGGTGAAGGACTGTGGGAATAGCACATTAATACACCTGCCTTGGCGTTGTAGGGTCCTTGCTCACAAGGAATCAGCCTCTCTTTCAGCCAGGGAGTTCTAGGTCCGATCTGGAAACTGAGCAAGGAATTGTGATCTCTAGTGAGACACTGTGCTCTGCCTCTGAACATCCATTGCTGACTTCTTTTGACTGCTTAAATTAACACTCTTGTTGGCAGTGCAACTTTCTTGCCTCCAGGAACACCATGTTCTCTTAACCATCTCCAAGTTGGGGCTTAGTGGATGACACTCCAGTCCTACTTCTCTTTGCAACAATTATGCCCACTTCACTTCTGAAAGCTAAGCACTGCCACATGGCTTATATTATTTTGAGATCTTGCTATTCTCAGGTCAATCAGGAGGTCTAGTTTCATAAAACCATCCTCTCCTCCTGATTTCCGTGAGCCACAGAGAACAGGCATGGCTGAGCTTCTTAGTACTGCTGCTGCCCCTGTCACAAGCAAGGCATCATCGCTTGCTTTGATAAACAAAAGCCTTCCTGGGACCATCATTGGCTGGTGGCCGTTTGAGCATTATGTAGCAAGCCAACTTTAGCATGCTCACTTCTCTGAGCTTGTGCATCCTTTTCTCTACCATCCACCATGGAAATTCCTGCACTTCTATGTAATTAAGTATGGATCATAGCTTTTGTGATCCTCCAAGAATCATGCTAGTACCTTATTATCACCACCCCGGGGGTATTTGCCACAATGTTAAATCCTGAATCAGGAGAAACTGCTCCCATGGTCACATCCAACTAAGTGTTCCGCCGCCCCTCCTTGATCCAGCACCCTCAGAACATAATCTCATGCTCACTTTCTTGGCTTCTACAGCGACTTCACTCTCCTTCCTTAGCCAACCCAGCACATCCCCAGTAGAAGTGGGGGCCTAACAACAGGCCTATCAGGTTCAAGGGAATTGAAGAGTTTGCGATACTCAACTGCATCTACTGAGATATTCCCACTCCAATTTTAGGGGTTCCACTCCTTCCTTACTAGGACCTTAACTTTGGTACAGAAGACTTGCTGGGGCTAAGAATCCAAACTTCCCTGAAACAGCACTGCTTCTACAATTGAGTCTGCCTGACTGCAGGAGACTAAGGCTTAGTTAGAGGATGCCAGAGACCCTATGGCTTCCATATTCTGACAGAATTGGTGATCAATCACCCTAAATCTTTTTTTTTAATCTCTTCAACAGATCAATGCCACTTGGAAGTTGGTACACAATTCCAAAGTCATTATAGTCTTGCTGTCCATCATAACTCTTAAGCACCAAAGGTACTGGACCAGGAGCTCCCCGCAACAGCATGCCATCTCAGTTTAACCCTGGGGAGAATTTTAACAGTGCACCGCTACAGTATGCCAGCGGCCATCCTTGGCAACGGGCCATCCTTGGCAACTGGCCAGCGAGTGATCCATCTTCAAATCCTGCCTTAGAGTATACTTCCTTGGACCACTCCTGGAACTGCCTACCTTAGACTGGTTTCCCAAACTCTGAGACAAAGATTTGTGTGCAGAAGGAAGTGAAGAAAGTAGGACTGCATAGCAAAAAAAAAGCAATCCGGTTATACTCATTGGAACCTATGGGAGTTCTAGAGCTGGGATAGTATACTGGAGTTGTCCTAAACAGAAGCAAGGGGAACAGGCCTTTGCATCCCACTGGCTTCTGGTCATCCTCAGGAGGGAGCTTGCATTTGCTTCCACTAAGGGCATAGCATAGTGAGGGATCCAGCTTCGAGTCCTCAGCAGCTGATCTTATCAGTGGGGCCAGGGGGTGGGTGAGATGGGTGCATCGTATCTCGGTGGAACGCCATAACATTCAACTTAGCATATGTGTTGGGAGTAGAGGGAGTGAAGCTGGGAAGAGGGAGGAGGCAGAGAGTAAAGAATATGGGTGACCTTAAAAGAGAGGCAAAGGAAAGTGAAATAAAATTCATATTTTATGGCAAGACAAGAAAAATGTAAACAAAATATTTTTTCTCTACCCTTTGGCCTCTTCTTTCCCCTTAACTATGCATTGGGTATATGCATTATGCATTCACCAAACCTCCCCATCAGCTGAAACACCTGATCAACCATAAAGAGCAGCATTCTCCTCACACCAAGAAGACAACTCCTTAAAAGATAAGAGTCCTTTCTGATCTTGTAAGGGATCACATGACCCAAGGCTTTGTACTTGCAGATCTGGATTTTGTAAACTGCCAATAATATGTCATTTAATGCACAGCCCTCTGTCTCAAAATACTTAGGTAACTGCGCTTTGATTTCTAATGGGTGGAAGAGTTCTTGGAGCTTCCTGAGCTGCTATTCCCGGGTTATAATCCTCAATTTGGCTTGAATAAAATTGTCTATTTCTTTCTTAGGTCAATTGATTAATTTTTGCCCTTGATTTTATAGAAATAGAAAATCACTGACAAGTTTGACTGAGGATTATTCTACTCATAATATGCAAGATGATTGGGGGAACAGAATTCAGGTCCACGCAGGCCAGCTCAACAGTTCTTGCAAGAATTTAGACTGCAGATCAGGGCCAGATCAGGCAACAGAATTAGGTCTGAAAGGAAGAGATGAAAATGTGAAATATTTGCAAAATTTGGTGACTAAAGAGGGGTATGTCTGTGTGAAAGGAGCCCACAATACAAGGGAGGAGCTGGTCTTAGAAGGTGGTGATGTGGGCTCTTACAGTTGTTGGGTCTGCAGAGACAGTCAAGTAATCTAAATAAAACTATCCTATTTGAGTGAGAAGCTAGACCTGGAATTTGAGTGAGAAGCTAGACCGGGAGAAACTGGTAGGAAGCAAAAAGATCACGACTAAATCCATGAACATAGGTGAGACTTCTAAAAGAGAGAGAGAGAGAGAATGAGGAGCTAGAGGACAAAGTAACCTTAGAAATTATAACAAGAGGAAATGAGTGACATTCCTCAGGCAATGTCTGCCTGTGGCCTCATATAAAAGTGGGGTCTTATTACCTATCCTTCATTTCACTGACACCCTCCCCCACTGTCCTACACAGGGCTTCTAACCCTTCCCTTGTCCCATGCAACTCTCTGCTCTTCCTGATGAAGAATTGATGGCACGAACCTCACCCCCAACTCCAGTTTCTGAAGGAAAGGAGAGTGTGTTTAGTAAACTAGGTACACATAAAGTCTTCCCAACCACCACTGCCGTCCCTAAAAGTCTTCCGCCAGTCTTCATCTAAGACTGTAGCCCTTTAAAAGGATGCAAATGCTATCATGGGTTGGGATACCAAATTACAAATTGGGTGTCTAATCAAGGCTGGAAACTTTAAATTTTATGTTTGAAAGTTTAACAAAGAAGCTTGAATGTTATTCAAACATTTACATTTGTAGTTTCTTGATTATTGGGGGGGGTGGTTAGTGGCAGTGTATATATTTTTAAATTTTTGTTTTATTTGAGGAGCCAAAGACTATACAACTTGTGTTACCATAGGCACCACATGTCTGTTTTTCCATGGGCTAGATGGCATTTTGTTGATGAGGTCTATTTCTGGATTTTTGTAAGCTAAATATTAAATTCTTGACTCTTTTTGCTTGAAGACAGAAATGAGCTCGCTAATTTAAGGCTATGCTGACAAGTTACAGACAACATTTACAACATGAAATATATGAACACGA